CATACTTGCATTATTTATTGTTTTTAAATTCAGCTTTAATTTTTATTGTATGTTTTTATGCAATCAATCATTTAATATGAATAATTATAACTAATTTATTTATTAACAATGGGTAGCCAATGATGCAGAAGATTTCATACATAGATTTTAGCAATATTTTCTATGCTTTAAATTAATTTACAATATTTTGCAATATTTTGAATTATTTTTGAAGTTTATTATGTTAATTTATTCAAAATTTTTTAAAACTATGCGAATATATTTAAAATTTAGCAAGGTATTCTAGAATTTTAGTAGCTATTTCGGCAAATTTGGTTACATTTTTTACAAGCTAGATAAACTTTAATTTATTGCTTTTGCATTTTATAAAAGTTTAATTTTTTTAAAATATTTTCACAAGTATTCGAACTTCTTAAAAGCTTATTAATATTTGATTTTTCTTTATTTTCAATTATTTCATAATCACAATTTTTTAAAAAATTTTCACAATTTTTCAAATCTATTCGAAATGTTTCAATATTTTCCATATAATATGATAATATTGAAGATAACTTAAAATAAGTATACTATGTTATTATGTATTTAGAGATTTACTTTATTAAATAATTTATATTATTAAACTTTCTGCTATTAGCCAAAATTTTATTTAAAATTAATTTTACTATATTATGATTAAATATTTATTCTATTATTATTTTTTAATTTTAATGAACTTTGAAATATTTAAAAAAATTATTTCAAAATATTTTGAAATATTTTTGAGTTTTTTAAATAATTTCTTAATTTATTTCATCTTATTTGCACTCCATATATTTAGATAAATTCTTTCACTATATTTCAAAATATTTTTGCTATGTAATAATTTCGAAAATTTTTTCGCAATATTGCAAAAATTTTTTCATAGTGCAATAATTTTGAAATTTATTTTGCAATATTTCGAAAGAATTTGCATTTTATAAAAATTTCAAAATTTCTTTCAGATTATTTTGAAATTTTTGTGCTATGCAAATTCTTTCGAAATATTTTGCATCTATAATTTTGCTGAGTCTAACAGTCATTATATTGCTTGCATTGCTAAAAAGTCACTTACTCAGAGTTGAGGTTGTGAGTATCACAAGATACAGTTTTGCAAGCTTACTTAAAAGAGGGAGTGAGGTCTTTTGATCATTCCACCAATGAAAAAGATTATGATTGTAGGAAGTGTCAGGTAAAGAAAGGTAATGACTAATTTCATCAATTGGCTTATCAACAGTATTGTGCATAAAAATTAATTTAATGAATGTTTTTTGATAGATTTGGTGTGGTTCTTTCTGACTAAAAGTTGCTTTTCAGTAAAATCTAAAGGCTGGTTTATTAGGGTTAGTGAAGATTGATAAAGTAATTTAATATTGTTATATTTTCTCAAAGTACAGCTTTTGCTTTGAGTTGTTGAGTTGATGTTGCAAATCTTAATTTTTTAAATCTCAGATTCAGAAGGTATGCAAGAAATAATTCTTCCTTTGAAAAATTCCAATAGTGTAAGAGTGCATTATATAATGCATTCTTAATTTTGCATTGTATGTTAGTAATGTCAATAGGTGTATTGATTTTAATTTTTCTTTCTTTAGGACTACCTTTTTCCTCTTCCTGTGCATCAACAAATCCAACATTATTGTCGAATGCTAGGTCAGAAGTTTCAAAATTTATGTCATTCGATTCATCAAAATAGTCTGTAGAGCAATCTAACTTATTTATCAATCCTAAAATAAAGGGGATAATATAGGAAAATGTAACATATTCAGAACAACTGAGTACTTCTGTAACTTCAAAAAAGGGACCCAAAATATTAACAATGTCTCACATCAAATCCTACTTATTATTAGTTAATTGTATTTCTTTTAACCTTCTTGCATCTTTTCTTACTTCAGATTCATTTGAAATGGTTAATGTTGCTAAGACAATGTTGATAGCATCTTTAATAAGTAGAAGTCATTCCTAAGCAAGAAAAGATGAATTCTAATGAGTGAACACATCCATTTTTGCATGAAGGTATGTTGAAGTTTTGGTAATTAACTATAATAATAGATATTTTAGTTATTAAATAGTTTATAATATAACATATAGAAATCATGAAACGTCTTGTCATTATTGAGTTATTAATGGAATTTTATATTAGTACTTCACAAAATCAAATCAAAATTTGAATTTGAATCAAATATTTGAAATTATTTGATCAAATTAATTAAAATTTTAATCAAATAATCTCAAATATTTGATTTAAATTCAAATTTTGATTTGATTTTGTGAGGTACTAGGAATATTTCAAGTTATAATAAAACATATAAACCACTATAGTTTAAAAATGGAATGGTTTGTATTTTATTGTAGTTTGAAATATTTTTATTGATAACCCTATGTTGGCATAATGATTATTAATGAACTGGTTTTGTTTAAGTAATATGTATCCTAGTTACTTTTATTAAAAAATTAAACATTACATTATTATCCGAGAGCTTGAATGTTTTTTGAGCATCTTCAAGTCGTTTATTTTGCTTTGGTGACATGAAAAAATTAATTAATCACTTGGCATGTGCCATGAATGCTTCAACAGACATTAGACCTTTTCCAACAGCAAGTTGTAATATATGGGCTAAACATGAGATTCTTACTATATCACTTATTTTATTAATTGCCACTTTCATATTAGACCCATTATCGGTTGTGATTGAATATATCTTTCCTTTGAGACTCTATTTTTCAATTACTTCTTCTAATTTTTCTTGAATAACATTTGCAGTATAGGGACGCAAATCATTAACTCTTTCCAACGATCACTTGTACCAAAACTTTCTGATAATAAACTAGCAATAACTAAAT